TGCAATAAAATAAAATGAGTGTCTAGGCAAATTCAAACCGCTCCGGACCAGTTTTCTCCAAGAAACTTTAGGAAAAGAAGGCCTCATCATCTCATTAACAGCTATAGAACTAAAGGGGAGAGCAGATACCCTAAGGCAAAGACCGCTCCGTGAATCTGCAGTGTTGAATGATAGCTTGCCTCACCTCATCAAAAACTCGCCAAAATATAGTTGAGCCTCGCTGAGGTTAGCTTCTAAGCCTGACGCTTCTGAACATTTCTGAAAAAACCTGTAGCAGAAGTGTAATAGACCGAGTATCTCCTCTACGGAAGAGCAATAGGTCATCTATGTATGAAACATGAGTGATCTTGAGAGCTCCGCATTTTGGGCGACGCTTGAAATCTGGTTATCCATCAGTTCATCTCAATAACTGCTCAATTACTCCATCACCAAAGTGAAGATGAAAGGGGAGATGGGATCCCCTTGTTTGATACCTCTACCTCCAGCAAACTAGCCACATAGCTCTCCATGAACTTGAATAGAATAGTGAGCACCTCTAATACATGTCTTCACCCAGTGAATAAATCTGAGAGGAAAACCATATCCCTTCATGATAATCTTGAACAAAATCCCAATTCAATGTATCATATGCTTCTTAGATTATATTTACGACACATGTAGGGCTAATGTGCTGTCAGTCATGGTGCCTAACCAATTCTTGAACTAGAAGAATATTGTGTAAAATGTTTCTCCTCTTTACAAAAGCACCTTGGTTGAGGCCTACTACTTATTTCAACAAATCCTTCAGCTTATTAGTGAGAATATTTGAAATACATTTGTACTCCACATTACAACAAGCAATCGTCCAGAACTCCTTCCCAAACATAGGATGAAATTTTGAGTGTTGTTATAATACATTTTTACAGAGAGATCTCTTGGAATTCAATAAATCAAGCAGATTATTGATGGAAACCTTATCGCGTCACAATTGAGGGATTAGCAATTTCCTGAGTTGGGTGAGCCCCATGAATTGGCTTCAACCCAATCGAAAGCTATGGGGCTTAAGAAAGAATCAGGGATGCCGAAGGAGCTGACAATGCCTAGAGCATGGGGTCTCAGATCGCTGCACAACTTCATCACTTCTTTTTTTGCTGCAGCAAAGTTGCTAGGTGACAGTATCCCATACTGAAGGAAGGATGAGTCCTCTTCGATAGAAATCAAGGCATACATGGACCTTAACAATCCCAACACATCCTACAAATAATGAAAAAGACTAAGAGGTGAGATTAAGCATATACATCTGCTTTTTAGTTGCATACTCGGACTAGCTAATCTAAGAAAAATACCTTCAATGGGTCAGAAGACAATATTTCTGCCTCTATGATAGTTTGCAATATAGTCCGCTCTGTAAAGGCTCTAGCTAACTCCTCGCCAAGTCGATAACTCTAATAAACAATAGGAAATAACAATGTCCCCAATAATGTACAACAGAGAAATAAATGGAGGAAAGCAATATGACCCCTTACCAGGAGGATGGCTTTCTCTTTACTTTCTCCCTGAGCTTGATATTGGGGAATTTCTGCAGCAAAGCGTCTCAACAGATGTCGTTCTCTCAAGTAGAAAACATCAGTCTGTTTTTCATATCAGAGTTAGTTCTATGGGATGAACAATTATAGATAGAAGAATAGTAAAGCTGTACCTGGAACTTGATGCTCCTAAGACTACAGCCTGTTAAATTATCTGAGATTATAGGGCAGGGATCATTCATGTGTTCCAATCCCAATACTTTAAATGGCGACTTCTTCCTCTGAGCTGCTATATATTCAGCGAGAAGTGCTTTGCTTACCTGATTCAATTTATATGATATCATAGAGCTCCACTGGCTTGTTTTAACTTGAAGAAAGAGTCAATCCAACAAAAAGCTATTGAAAATACCTGTTGCATCAGTAAATTATTGTCTCCCTCTAAGGTCGATTGTACATCAAATTCACCTTTCAAAATCCCAATACGATTCTCCGTCTTGATCCCTTGCCCTCCACAAGCCTCACAACATTCCTAACACGAAAAAGAAAATGCCAAATGAGCAAGATGAATCTTAAGTTGCAAAAGATATGAAACTTAACCTATGTAGCATGCAAACCTGTAATGTTCTCATGTTATGCCAAGTCAGTGTAGCTTTAAGAGCACTTGAATAGACATGCATGATTTTGTTAGTTTCTGGGGTCCTCTTCGCATAACTCTTCTTCAAGAAGTTGATAGCACAGCTCATTGCACATCTGTTCAAATATAAATACCGAATGAGCTTTTATATTATATATCAACTATCTATACACTTCAAAATAGGCATGAGTACTCAAAGAAATATAAAATGATAGGGTGAATTTCACAAAACCCTCTCAAGTTTGGTTAATGACATTTATAAAGTAGAGAGGGTCATCTAAAAATTGGCCAAAACTTGAGAGGAATTTTGTGAAATTTACTCAAAATGATAAACTATAAAGAATAGAGGGAAATTACGTTTTTGCAACAAGGGGCAGAAGACGCCGCTGATGACTAGGATAATCAAGCAGCAGAACCTCTTGACCGTCTGGTGTAATAGAGAAAGCTCGTCTTGTGAGTGCATATCTCACAGCTATAGCTAAACCTTGCTGGAACCATATATAAGATACAGGTCAGTAAAAATGCACCACAAGCACAGAAAAAGCAGAAAGTACACAGGAAGTGCTTACCTTTGATGAATAAATTGCAGTGGATGCAACATCTACACGACCAGATGTTAGGGGAGCCATGAAAGCCGCAAATCTCTGGAGAGAAGAAAAGTAAAGGTTTCATAAATAAATAGAAATAGGAACAAGAAATCATTCATAATTTTCTTCATCAGATATAAAATCCAGGGGAGTAATGAAAATGCTAATTACTACCTGTTCTGGGTTTTTTATTGCGCTCACATATTTCCCATCGGACAGTACATCAGCAACTGAGTTCAGCAAGTTCTCTTGGGGCACTCGCAGATTGTCAAACCTGAGTAAACCAGAATCAAGGATCAGCCAACATGAATTCTCCATCATAAAAGAAAGCACATCATTGAAAGTATGTTTGTTACCAAATACGTCCATTATCATTTCCATTCAATCCAATCTTATGACCACAATCAGCTATGTGTACATTGGGGCATATATTTCCATCAGCATCTCTAATCTGAGCTATAAATGCATGCACTCCTTCATTCGTCCCATTTATGTAGAGTAGAGAGAAGAGTATTGCGTGTGTAGCATTCTGCCAATAGTTAAGGGACAACCATGTCGAAGAATTACATCAGGGCAGCACAGAAAGTAGGTTGAAGGTCATGAACAGTAAAAAATTCTTACATTAGCAGAACCACCAACCCAGTATTTTTGAGCTGATTCACAGGGAGTGTTAATGACAAATTCTCCGGTCTCTTTGTCATATGTGGCAGTCGTCTCCATTCTCCGTATCTTGAAAACGGGAGAAAGTACATTATGAGACCAAGACAGTTATTGGTCAAGAAAATCAACTTGTTTAGAAAAGGGTTTTCTGCAGAAACCACCTTATAAAATAGGGTGAGATTACGAAAACCACCTTTAAATTTCAATTAAAACAAAAACCACATCTAAGGGCGTTCTAGTTGCAATTAGCCACCTTGACCTATTTCATGGTGACATCTTGATTGAAATATCAAAAATAACCACATGCCAACACATAATTTTGGTTTAGGTTTGGTTAAGAAGACATACCACGACATGTGTGGTTTTTATGGGCATTTTAGGAATTTCAATTGAAATTTCGTTGTAAAATATGTTAAAGTGGTTGATTGATACCGGAACCCTCCTTTAAGGTGATTTTATGTCTTAACTGAATTCTATAGGTGCTTTTTGTTTTCTCACCCTATTTAGAGTTGATCTCCGTGGGAGGAAAAAAAAACTATAGAACATGATTTCATAAATTCCACATACATCGCTGCCATGCCCCAATTCTGTCATTGCAAAGCAACCTTTGACTAGATACCTTTCAGTGTCTTTCAGCCACTTGTCATAATGTCGCTGTGTGCCCAAAAATTTAATTGCACCACCCCTGAAATTCATAAGAAAACTTAAGTACAAGTGGGCATAACAGCTACCTTGAGACTGAGAGCACTAGTGTGATCGCAAAAGCCAGGACACAAAGAGGTATCATTATTAGAGGTAAGTGCAGATTTAAATGAAATTACTCACCAATACTTTGCCAAGACAAATGCTATTTACAATAGCGTTAAAAATAACCAAATCAAGTATGCTGTCTTGTACATAAATTACAAAATATCCAACCATTCCAGTGCATAAGGACATGATAATTTGCACAAGCACATTACAATTGTCATGCATTCTTTACTCTTGTTTCTTGTTTTCTTCTTGTTAGGTTACACGCCTAATAATAACACCTCGAACGGAGACTAAATACACAAAATAAAGGCACAAAATCAAACACAGTACTCACAGATATACGTGGTTCACTCCTTCGGAGCTACTCCACGGTGCAACAACGCCAAATTCTTTTATATCCCAAAAGAATAGATCCAAGAGAACACTCTCTCTTGATCAGATACAATCCAAGAACTCTCACAAACTCTCTCTGTGTTTTCTCTTACTCTTTTATAAGAGGAGTTGTTACTGAGATGAGATTTCCTTAAGAGTTTAGGGCCCTATTTATAGTGTTTGAGAAACACTATGCACAAATAAAATATTATTAGTGGGACCCTCCACTAATAATAATTTATTGGTGGGACCCGCCAACTTTTTATTTTCTCAAATATTTCTGCAGCTTTCGGTCACCGACTCATTCTTTTGTCAAAGAATGTTGCTGGTCAAAAAGGCTGCGGCTGACAATCTCCCACTTGAAGATTTGATTGAATATCAATCATATCTTCACACCACTCTTGGTTGCATCATCCGAATGTTTTGTATCTTTGGCGTCTTGCACGGTCCTCAACATTCTCAACGGAGGCCATATGAGGCTGCACACAGCCTCACCTTCTCGAACGGAACTGGCTTGGTCAGCATATCCAACGGAGGCCATATGAGGCTGCACACAGCCTCACCTTCTCGAACGGAACTGGCTTGGTCAGCATATCGGCTGGATTGTACCTCGTCTCAATCTTCATAAACTTGAACTCGTTCCTGCTTTGCCATCTCCGTATGGCATGGTGCTTCACATCAACATGCTTGGTCCGAGCATGGAATACGTCGTTCTCTGACAAGTGAATGGCACTCTGACTGTCGCAGTGGATGAAGTATTTCTCAAAGCTTACTCCAAGCTCGAGAAGAAAAGCCTTCAACCATAGCAACTCCTTTGCTGCCTCTGTTGCAGACACGTACTCGGCTTCGGTTGTCGATAAAGCCACAGTATCCTGTAACTTGGATCTCCAACTTATCGCTCCACCACCCAAGATGAAGATGTAGCCGCTCGTACTCCTTCTCGAGTCTATGTCCCCGGCATAGTCTGCATCACAAAAGCCCTCTAGCTGTAAATCTGTCCTACCATACTCAAGACAACGGTCAAACGAGCTTCTCAAGTAGCGTAGAAGCCACTTGACCGCACCCCAGTGTTGTTTTCCTGGATTGTTCATGAAGCGGCTCATAACTCCAACTCATTGTGTAATATCTGGCCTCGTACACACCATCGCATTCATCAAACTCCCGACGACAGATGCGTATGGTATGTTGACCATGAACTCATGCTCTTCATCAGTCTCTGGTGCTTGGGTATTTGATAGCTTGAAATGACTCGCAAATGGCGAGCCCACTGGTTTAGCTTTCTTCATGCCGAACTTTTCAAGAATCTTCTCAATGTAGGCCTTTTGAGATAACCTCAGCCTCCGTGCTGATCTGCCTCTGATGATCCTCATTCCCAGAATCTGGTTTGCTGGATCCAGATCCTTCATCTCGAAGCACTCAGAGATACGCCCCTTGAGTTCCTCAATACGGGCCAAGTCGGGCCCTGTAATCAACATATCATCAACATAAATCAAGGGTATCACATAGGATTCGCCGTATCTCTTGATAAAGCAGCAATGGTCTGTGTCGCATTTGAGAAAACCGTTCTCCTTCATAAAATTTTCGAACTTCATGTACCACTGTCGCGGAGCTTGCTTCAGACCATACAAGCTCTTGAGCAGGCGACACACGAGGCCCTCCTTGCCTATTTCCTCGAAGCCCACTGGTTGATGCATATAGATCTCCTCCTCCAAATCTCCATGAAGGAATGCCGGAATGCCGTCTTCACATCCATCTGTTCTAGGTGGAGATCTCAAACTGCCACAATGCTCAGCACAGTTCGGATCGTGATCAACTTGATGACGGGAGCAAAAACATCAGAATAGTCTATCCCTGCTTTCTGCTCATTGCCCTTCACTACAAGTCTTGCCTTGTAGCGTCTCCGTCTATCAGCTTCATCCTTGACCCGATAAATCCACCGATTGTGAAGAGCCTTTCTCCCTCTTGGAAGTTTTACGAGCTCCCAAGTCTTATTCTTCATCAATGACTTTATTTCTTCCTCCATGGCAGACTCCCACTCGCCCCTGTAGGCGTATAAAATTGCTTATAGGTCCCTTAGCATAGCTCGGCATAAACCGACGAACCAACGAGGCGACGAGGTTGACGAATCGCACGCAAGCAACGGAATACATCCATTCGCGTGCGGAATCAAACTAACGGGCTGAAGAGTCAACGAGTCATCCAACCAAAGGCGGACTCGGACGAATCACGATCGAATCAAGATCAGTTTCGGACTCGAACTCAGAAGTGGATTTATTGCCTAATCAGGAATCGGATCTACTGCCTAATCAGGAATCGGATCTACTGCCAAATCAGATCAACAAATCAGAAGTCTGAATCAACCACGAAACCGGACAAAACAACAAAACCCAACGCCTAAGGGGGGCTCGGCCAAGAGCCGAGCCACCCATGGGTGCTCGGCCCAGTGCCGGCCACCCATGGGTGGCCGACCCGGATCTTGGGACTTCGAGGACTTGCACATCCAGATCTGGTGCTCGACGATCATCAACGCCAAATAAGGCAGGAGTTCGAGAGGACCGGATCTCAGATCTACGCAGGCGTACTCCGGATCAAAGCTTGGCCTTTGATCCCGAGATTTGGACGATTATTTCCTTGGTGAACTAATCCTCCCCGGCTATTATTTCCTTGGTGAAATAATACCCGTTGTACTGCGTAGATCCGACCGGATCTAGATCTCGTGGTGGTCCACGGATAAACCCCGGCGCAGGCAAAGAACCCACAAAAGCGAGTGACCGCAAAACAGGAGCTCGCGATTTGTTCGACACAAAAGGAGAAAGTTGTAATCTTTGTTTATTTTTCTTTGATTTTTATTGTAACCGGATCTAAAAAAGACCGGATCTTTTGTAACTCAAAAAACTGTTATTTAAGATGACAATGGAATCAATTACAAAGAATGACACGATTTTTCCCGCGAACAATCTGGCGACCACAGTGGGAGCCGCCGATCTCGCTGTCGAGATCGGAGCGTCGCAGCCACGGATCTCAATCCCGATCGTGGAGGAGGTCGAATACGAGTTCGACCAACAGAAGTTCGAGGAATACTTGTCGTTCTCGTCCGGATCAACCTCCCCACGCAAGTCCAAGAAGTCCAAGTTCTCCAGGAGGAAAACTCGTTGGTATGAAGACGTTGAAAACACCAACGAAGATCTCGTCCCGTTTGATGCCAAAGTCGCATCGGGTGAGGTTCCTCCAATTCCCAACCAAGGCGGATCTACTCTGGCCAACCTTTCTGCCGCGGAAGGCGTGGTGACTCTCTCGAAGAGAGCCCGCCAAAGGCAACGTCAACGCCTTGCGAAACAATTCGCAAAGGCCATAGAGTCAGTTGACGGGATCCGCTACAACGTGGATCTGAAGAATAGGAGAGGCAAACAGCCTCAACAACTGAAGAATGGCGGTTCCTCCAAGCCGCCGACGAACGAATGGATCCGGGTCAAACGGAACCGTTCAACACTCGAAGAGCGCATCCGCAAACGCCGCGCACTATCAGCGCAGGCGCGGGCTCAAGCCGAAGAAGCCCGCAGGAGATTGCAGAAGGATGTGGCCAAGAAGCCGCCCCCAACCCGCAAAGTCTGGAGGCCGAAATCCGAAGTGGCGATTCAGGCCAAAGAGCAACCTTTGCAACCTTCGAAGCAGGTTCAACCTCCGGCGAACCAAACGAAGTCACCGACAATTCCCATGGCTACTCCGGGAGGTCACGCAAAATCACCCCGGAGAAAGAAGTCAGTTTTGGAACGCCTCGGTTCAATTCCCGGCGAAAGATGCAAAGCTCCAGTTCAAGAACGTTTGGGCCCGATGAAGAAGCGAGGCAAAGCTCCAATTCACGAGCGTTTGGGCCCGATGAAGAAGCCCAGAACGACTCAACATACTGGGGGTCGCCATCACCTCCAGCATGACAAAGACCTCAAGGCAGCTGCGCGCACCAATTTGCGCATTGAAGTCCAAGATCACGCCGAAAATTCATGCCCAAAAAGGCATGTTTTGAGGCGGGTAACCTTTGAAAGCCCAAAGAAGGCAAGTCAACCTCAGATGGAAACATTATCATCTGATAATGATAGTGTTATACCTGAGAAGGCGTGCCCGCACACGATAGGTTACTCTGACTGTCAAAATGACGAGTTGTACTATCGTGCTGGGGGTACGAACAGAACCAGAAAGAGGAGTCCCCGAGAACAGGAAACTCAGTGGCCCTGTTCCAAACTCATTCGGGCAGTATTGTCTGAATGCAGCTGCATCAAGGCGGTCCCCGAACGAGTTTCGGTTTTCGAAAGGCTCAGTACTGAAACGCCGAAAACAAGGCCTAGGCGTTTTCGACGAAAAAGAACGGTGGTTGAAGAGGGAGAATTTCCGAGGGTCACCACCAACATGACCAGCAGAGAGACATCGGCGCGGGACAATCTCGAATCGATTCTGAAAGCATCCCGGCCTAGAACCCGTCTGCAGTCCGGAACCATCAAGCGAGCAACCTATGGTAGGGTTCGGACAAGACTCCCATCAGAAGATGAAGAATCTGATGCTGGCTCCGCGGGTCCGATGCCGGTTCCGCGGTG